CTCCATCACTGGCCCCAGAAGAACCCCACGGTGCTCACCACGAAGCTGGACGTACTCCCCGATGTGATCTGCAGCCTCGGGAGAGAGCCCCTTCTCTCCTACCATCTCGCTCCTCACTTCTTCCCACGGCATCTGCAAGGGGAAAGAAGAACATCAGCCACTGCTCCAGGGACATGGTCTCTCCTGGGGATGGGTCTCTGGTGGTCCTGCCCAACAGAGATGAACAGACATATCTGCCCCCAGCAGACCTTTACACGGCAGAACCCCATCAGCGCCAGCGTGGTTAAGAGGTGCATGAGAGAATCAGCAGATCAAACGCTCTTGGAGCACGGTCATATGGCCTTAACTCCATTCCTTGTATACCCAACCCTGCGGCCAGCAAAGCCGTCCAAAAACTTGGGAGCTCCAGGACCAGTGCTTTGGTTTTGATTTCTGACCAGAATCAAACATCGGTACTGTAAAAGCACTGAGTCTGAGAGGTGTTTTGCTGCTGTGGTTTCCCTGGTTAGGTACTTAGTCACAAACACCAGTCAAGGAAGTGTTGCTGATCATGCCTACAGCCGGGAAAGGTGGGAGGAGATGGCTGGGTGATGCAAAAACCCAATGAAAGAAGAATACACTGCAGTTTTCCCCACTGACCAAGGGGTCAAAGGGAACCAAGAGTGTTGATCACATCCAGCTGCACTGAGATAAATCACAGCATATGAAACCAAGGAAATTATTCCATTCTAAAAAAGCCCAAACCTCCCTTCCTATTGCTTCTCCACACATCTGCAACCCCAAAACCTACACTTTGGTCATGCCTTTGCAATAGATCACACTGCTAACGGGACTTAAAGTGAGCCTGCCTCTAGTTGATTCCATTCAATCATCAGACGAGGCCTCCAGAGGAAAACGCAGTTCATCCTTCAACAAAGCAAGGCGAACACACGAGAGAAGATACGTGGCCACTTTATATAATGGGGTTTCACGGGAAGGTTAGGAGCACTTCTTTAAGCAGTCAGCCCACAGTGTCCCCCACATGACTCCAAACACCCCAGAAAGTCACCTCCAAATTCTACTTCGGAACCCAAACCAAGAAAACTGAGTTTTTGGATTGCACCTCATTTTAAGGTTCCTCTTCCTCAGATGTTAGTGGAGGATTGCGCACACATTTATGGACCGATCTGCAGCATCTTTATACCTGACTAGGGCCTACGGTCAAGACAATCAGCTGCAAATAAGGAATTGTACCTACACTGGCACCTTTCCCTCCTCCCCAAGGGGCCTGAATCCCATAGAGACCGTCACAACAGCCAATGCTCTGGAGGCAGCTCGCTGAGCACAAACCTGCGGGTACCTCCTGCCTTGTGTCCTACAGGAGCAGCTGTACCCAGAGGGGGCTGTTCTGCGTCACACCAAACCTCAGTAAGCCATACAAGCACCCATGTCTACACACAGCATGTTGTATAAAAGTACCTGTGCTACATGCCCAAATCAACAGAGGCGTGAATGAAGCAACCAGGAGACGCGGGATGAGCTACCACCGTCTCACAGCACTGGGAAGAGAGATTACGGCACTGAGCACCACATTGTCCCGGTGACCGTGTCCACCCTGCTAGAATGCGGCACAGTCCAGGCCAGGCCCAAGGAGCCCTGTTCCTAGCAAGACATATTGCACTGATGGCAGCCACAGATGAGTGTGAAGAGATGCTGTGGGGGCACACAGTACACCACCAAACAGACCAGCCTTCCCCTGCTGGTTCCCCAGCTGCTGAGGTTATTTTTGAGACCTGTGTTTCTGATCTCTTACTCCTTCTCACGCCAAATCCTTTTCTCTACTTCCAGGTAAAATAGAGAAACCTCATCCATACATGCCCACCTCGCTTCTCTTTGCTGCCTCCCTGCTTCTCCTCACCACCTCCTGAGGGTCCCACAAACAGCCAGAGGTGGAGGAGGTCCCACACACTGCTCAGCGGTGCCCTGATCATGCTGAAACAGCCTGGCCAGCAACACGCACACGCTGCAGACTCCGTGTCCTCGGCAGGGGTGCTAGACATCACATCGCCAATCAAGAACAGCACCAGCTTGCAGGATGGTATTTATGAACCGGGTCCTGGATAACACAACCACTGTGGCAGCCTACTTCCCTGTGGATTTCCACTGAACTCGGCCCTGTCACCTGCAACCTAACTGCCTCACAGACTGTGATTACAGACTGTTGCTTACGATTGCACTTCTCTATTCCTGCACTGCCACAGAGATTTACCATTTATGTCATACTCACCTTGCAACTGAGATCGGACGTTTTAGTAAAGGTTGGAGCAGATTATCTTTCGAGATCCCTTCCAATCTGGCCGTTCTATGATTCCAGGACATGACTGTGATTCCTCACACCACCCGACTGCACCAGATGCATTTGAAAAGGCTTTTCAATGCCCTGGCCCAGTCTGGGGGCAGGTTTTCATGATCCTGGTTCATAAGCACCAGCACATTAAGAAGGTTAAGGTTTGGGATGTTGAACCTCCCATGTGAAAAGCGTTTTTCCCTCCCTCCTTTCCATTTGTGAGGACCTCGTGGGGTACTGGAGAAGAAAGCATAGGATCCAGTTATCCCATGTGACTGCTGCGCCCTGCATGCCTCCCCTCCAGAGAAAGGGGGGGGAACAAGAACAACTCCAAGTTTATCAGCATTTTCCAGCCAGTTCTCATGGACCATGGTAAGAGCAGCCCAGGGGGACAGAGACTCACTGAAACTCCAGCAGCGGCAGTTGCAGCGCAGGGCTCCAGCCCATACCTTATCCAGTTTGTCAACGCTGGAGCAGATCGTTCGGAACTTGCTGTCTGAGACACCACAAACTGCAAACATCCCGTCAAGGATGCGCCGATCGTTGACCTGGGGAGAGGGAGCAAGTCATTATGAACTCAGACAGATGCTTCAGCTGTGTCCAGCTTCTCTCTGGTTTTGAGCACGGAAGAGAAACTAGCAGATGGCTGCCAAGGTATTTGCTGTTTGCAGTTTCTGTCTCCTTCCCATTCCTGGGGAGCTGAGCTGCCTCTCTGACTACAGCAAACCAACTAGCACAACTGACTCCTACCAAGCCTGGTAGAGCTATCACATTCTCCTTCTAGAGCTGCAGACACTCCACTCGCTCAACAGGAGAAAAACCAGTGGGGCCTATGAGCCCTCTCATGTGGACACGTAAAAACAGCTCAGGAACAGGCCATGGACTAAGGAGATGAGTGTTACCCTGCTCTCTCCGTGTAACAAAGGGATATCTGATTATGTTAAAACCTTGCTAAGTCATTCTTTTTAATATAATACAGTGAATTCCATTGTTTAATTACGCTCTGCAATAGTAGGTAATGAAGGCCAAAGGCTCAGCTGGATTCAACATTTCCATGGGTAGTAAGAACATTTACAATTAAATCAGACAGAAACAAAGACTGCTTGGGAGTTTGTAATCCTCCAGCATCAACATGAAGCAGACAGTGGCTCGTGGAAGACACGAATAACCGCAGGCAGGTTATTCTGCTGTTCCCCGTTGCAGGGGTGACTTTGCATCCTCCTTTCACCACTGCCCAAACACACAGTGGCTGGACAGGCAGTTCCCGTGCACAGCTCTTCAGCTCATCCCAGACAGGTTCAAGGGCAGGTAACTGCCCCCCTACCCCGTGGGGGTCGCACATAGGAGCGCAACACCCAGCTCGCACTGCTCACCTCCCCTGCAGAGCCCAGCAACGACCCAGCTCTGGGTGCCTCTTGGAGATGCCACCACCCTCCTGCACATCAAGCACTCCTACCCATCGCCCTCCTACTGCTGTACACCCTTCCCCATCCTGCCTGACCCGTGCACCCAGCACCGTTTGCTGCCACACTGAGTTAACAGAGGTGTTTTGAAGCAAATAGCAAGCTCAACCTACAGTAGGGCACGGCCCTTCTTCTGGAAGAGGCCTCAGCCCCAGAAACGACTTGGTGGGAAGGCAGGAGCCTGCAGACAACACAGTGCACACACTGAGCCGATGTCCCAGCTCCTGATGCCCCCTTAGTAGGGACAAGGGCAGGGATCCTGGGCCACAGCCTGCATTCTACTGCCGGCAGCGAGTATGACAGTCACCTGGTGAGCTGGCTGCTAGACGTTTTGCAGGGGACTGTGGTTACTGCTAGAGAGAATTCTGCTAACTGCAGCCTCAGGAAACCTCCTTGCATTCCCAGCTGAAGGCAAGCCTGCTCTGAGGTCCAGCCTTTTAGGATATACACCATGAGGAGGCAGAGAGGGAGGGGTGAACTTCTGGATCAGGCCTTAGTGGGTGTTACAGTGGGAAGAGGTGCTGCTGCGCAAAACCACAGCAACAACGACTACTGCTTCCCACCGTGGTGCAGAGAAACCTGCCTGGTCTCACCTTAACGAGAAAGTCCCCGAGCTGCAGGTCACTCAGGATCTCGTGCACGATCTTCAGGCACTCGGCATCGGGAATCATTGGGTCGAACTGTCCGGCGATGTCAAAATCCTGGGGGCACAGGAAAAGGCAGTGAGCAATTCAGCATCACTGGCGTGGCTGTAGCAACACAGCTTCAACTGGTAACAGCAGATTTTTTACAAAAAGCACGAGAAATGGGATGTAAGGGAGCACTAGCCCTCGCCCATAGGATCAAGAAGGGACAGGACGTGGGTTATGACCCTCCTGCATCCAAGGCAGCAGCGCTCTCGTATCCACTGCACTGCAAAGAGTTTGTACACTGTGTCGTGGCCAGTGCAGAGTTTGTGAGAAGCCGTTCTGCTTCTCCCTGCTCTCTGCTTCTGGAGGTGTGTGACCTGCTCCCTGCCTCTGACACAGCAGTTTACCGTGTGACATACTTTGAAACAGATCCTTGAAAAACAACAAAAAGGAGACAGCAGAGCGATCATCAGCAGTAAATAAATAGAACAAAGGAACCAGGAAAGGAAGGAGAAAAATACTAATTATTTAGCATGACCTAAATGCCAAATGTTTTGCCTTGATTCTTAGGATGTTCTTTTTTTAATACACATGCCAATCAAGTTAACGATCAGGGAAGAAGACAAGAGAAGCAATCCCAACTGAGCCAAAACCAAAGTTTCAACCGCCAAGACAGAAAAAGAAATCAGAAAGCCTGAGTGGCCTCCACCAGAAATTACCAGGTGAACCAGCACACAGAACTAAAGCCCAACAGTAACAAGTTTCAATAGGCTGGTAGCCCGTGATTAGAAAGCAGCAAAGACAACATCAATGTTCAGAGAGAAATAAAACACAGAAGTAACAAGAGACCTTTTATTCAACTCCTGTTTATGAATCCCCAGATGCAAAGTCTTCAATGAGTACAAGAATAATTTTAATTAAAGTGGGTGAGTTTCAACGTGGCTTCACCAAGCTTCCAAAATAAACCAGGGCAATGGAGGACAAAAGAGATGAGATCACATCAGTTAATCCCTGACCAGCTGAGTGCAAGAAAGGCTGATGCAATCCCTCTGGAAGTTGGGCAAAGCCTGGCACAGTCAGGAAAGTGCCGCTACCACAGTACGTGGCACAGGTGAAATCTCACTGAAAAAAACCAACCAAGGGCTGGTGAATTATGTTTAAGAAAAGATGCAGAAAAAGCTACTAGGCTGAGGAAAGAAGCAAAGCATCTCCAGAGAGAGAAGGTAACAGAGCTTGATTTATGTGGCCTAAGGAGGGGAAGATTTCTCTAAGCATTTCCCAAATGTTTATCTGGGAAAGGGGAAGAATCCGTAGCAAGGGATGACAGCTACCGTTTAAAGAGCTGCACTGCCACAAGGAGAAGTAAGCTATCAGACACAAGTAAGTTTAGGCTGGATATTAGAATACTCTATCTAGCTATGCTAGGAGTGTGATCTTGGAACAGTCTTTCAGATGAGACAGCAGGCAAAGACCCCAAGTTGCTGGAAATGGGAATTCACCAAGCTGGAGCTGGAAGGTATCCACAGGGGTTGTATGATGTAACGGGAATATTCTCAAACAGGAATTTATTTGCAATACAAGGTGCTGGGGACTGTGTTACTACAGCGGAACAAAGCCATTCCTCGGGGCTACCACACTCGTCTGAGAAAGCCACAAAGGAAATTGCTTTCTTACCTGTTCTGTAATTTGGCCTCTGGGTTTTTCCCTTCCTTTGAAAGAAAGCCTGACTAAGCACGGGACAGAAGTAGCCTATGCTACGGGTGAATCACTCGCTCGCCTGCTAACACACCCAGGGGCTCAACTGTTGCCAGATTTGGGATCAGAAGGAAATTCTTCCCCCCCACCAGGCTGGCAAGCCCTGCGGGACGGAGCAAGGAGTTGCCCTCCTCTGCAGTGCGAAGCAGGCCAGATACCTGGGGGCTGTATTACAAAGTTCCCTGACACACCAGCACCCTGGGTCACAGCCATCCTCCTCATTCTCCCGCTCTCAATCTGTTTTCCACACCCACAAGGGCACGCTAAGGAGAAGACTGGTGGATCCTCCTGAGCTTTTCCATAGCCATAGGAAAGACCACTGCAGGGTAATGCAGCCTTTGGTCCTGCTACATCCCCCAAGCGCTGCCCAGCCTCCAACCTCACTCAGCAGCACCCTGGTCAATGACCAAACTCACACACTGGTAGAACTCCCTGTAGCGGCCTCTGGTCATGGCTGGGTTGTCTCGCCTGTAGACCTTAGCGATGTGGTAGCGCTTAATGTTGGTGATCTTGTTCATTGCCAAATAGCGAGCAAAGGGCACCTGAGATGGTAGGGTTAAGGATGGGAACGGGGAGGGATCACCCCACCCAGTTATCAGTCACAGGCAGTGCTGGGTCCTCACTATCTCCCCAACGCCCAGTACAGCGTGGCGCACAGCAACTGCTAAGAGATGGCTGGACTTGCTGTAGCTCCCCACAGTCTCCACAACTGTCCAAGACACAGCCCACACACGATCTCATTAAGTGTCTCTCCAGGCATCGTCCAGCACATCCTCAGGTTAGATCTCCGTCTCACGTGGGCTGTGTACTGCAGCAGCCTGGTCTGGGTCCCCTGCTGTAGGAGAAGCCCCACTCAATACCAGTCTTCCTCATCTCAACATACAAGCGTTACTTCACCGAACAGAAGCAACACACAGTAAATAACTGAGCAAAGGTTCTGCACCCACTGAACCACACTGCCAGCTCATGCTCTCCCTGTCGGTACGGGGTCAGAGCCAAGAGACTGTTCTCCCTCCTCCTCCCTGGCCCTCCAGACAGCACTGCCCCAAAAGGAGGGTGGCAAAGGTGACAGGACCCCTCAGCACCGGCTGTGGCAGGATACTGTCAGGTCGTAGCGCAGGGACAGCAGCTCTCCTCCTTGATCTTTCAGATCATAGATGAGCTTCGAGTCTTCACCGTATTTCCCTGTCAGCGTCTCCTACAACAAAAGGACACACGAACAAACAGCATCTTCAGTGACAGGGGATCAGCCCTAGAGCACACAGAAAACAAGGAGAGAAAGGGAGGACACCTAGGAGATGGAAGAAGAAAACTCAGCCCTCAACACATCACGAGCTTTCAACTGCAGGTTCCCCATCAGCTCAGCTGCCTTGCTGTGTCCTCACTCACCTTCAGCTCAAACACCGGCGTGTCAATGACTTCTGCTCCATGGCGCTTGAAGCAGGTGATGATTGCATTGAAGACTTTCTCACGAATGGCCATTTGCTTGGGGCTGTAGTCCCGCGTGCCCTGGGGCGAGATAAGGCACACACTGGGTTAGAGGCATGCAGTGGAGACAGATGCGAGAGGCACTGTGAAGAAGCCGTCATACTGCTAACAAAACCAGAAAGATCAGGTCCAGACACCAGAGAGTGTGGGAGAGGAGGTAAAAAGCAGCACCAAAACCCACTGGAAAACATCAGGACATAGCTCAGACACAATCTGCCATGGTCTGCAGAGCTAAAGCTAAGTCAGGAGTTTCACGATGCAGGAAACAAAGGAGCTAACACAGCTCCAACAGTCAGAGAGTTCAGTCAGAGCATGGCAGTTCAGCTAGGGTCTGTCCACAAGCTCTGATTCAGACCTATCAGCCAGACCCTGCAAAACGAGCCACCGCGAGAGGTGGAACCAGAGGACAGGCACGCTTTGAAGCTGTGGAACAACCAGCAGCTCTGCAATTTCCAAACACACATAGAGAGAAAACATCTTTTCAAAGTGCCACCCTGTGAGGTGCCCATCTACTGTTCATTGGGATGTGCTCCCTTTTAGTTTCCTTGCTGTTAAGAGTCACTGAATTATTTCAATAACCACCTTTAGGCTCTCAGCAACACATAAATCACTGTTAATTAACTAGACCTCCCACTTTCATTTTCTAGGGACTGGCAGTTGGGCAGGAGGAAGCAGAGAGCAGGCACTTTGTAACACCCCACCTGCACGCCACACGGCAAGGAGCAGCTTTCAGCAGTACCCTGACGTGACTGAGACAGGCTGGAAACCCAGACTGTGTTTCCCTGGCACTCACAGAGCTGCAAAATCCTCTCCACATCTTTGAACAGTGAAACACCCTTCTGATTCCCAGGCCTCGCGGCACAGTTACATTTACAAAACACACAATAAAGGGACAGGGAGACAGTTTTGAGACATTTCCTGAAGCATTGGCATTACCATAACCTGTTTTATTTGTGAGCAACATTCATAACTGTCTCCACGCCACAGCATGGAAACGCAGTTGGTCTCCAGTCAGCTGCTAGCGATGAAACGTTCAGGTCACAAAACATTTCAGCATAAATTGTATTATGGACACTATTCTTAGGGACCTGGAGACTGAAAAGCCACCCATGAAGGAAGGGTCCTTCTGCAAGAGGACACAAATGTCAGCAGCTGGCCAGACCTGCTTGGTAAATGGGACTACCCTCCCGCACAGACTAAGGCAAGCTCAAAAGCCATGAGACCTTTCTTGCTCCCCACATCTCAACGTGGACTGAACATTCCCAGCAAACAGTGCTGGGCACTCTTTGGCTGGCTTATGCTTTGCAGTTCCACCACCGCGAGCCTCGCACCAGCAGCGCTGTGCTTCACAGCACTCCAGGCTCACTCAACCTACCAGCAGCTGCATCCGCTCTGTGCAGGTTAACAAGGAACAGGACCAGCACCAGGATCCTTGATCCACGAGAGCCAATGAATGCAGGTATTAGTGGGGCAGTGCTACAAGAGCTGAGGAGACCTAACCCTAAACTCACCAGGGCAATGCAAGCCGTGACCTTACTTCAAATAGTGCAAGCCAAGCAGATACAAGACCCCTCACGCTGCACAGCTACAATAAAGCTTGACCAAAAGTGAACTTAATTTCCTGACCACACCAGCTAGCGGTTGGCTTGTTACAGAAGAGCCAGAAAGTCTTTAAGTTAGTAAGGTGTCTGGGTTGGATGCTGTCAGCGATATTTTCACCCCTCTCTCCCCTGCTGCTAAAAGCAAAACAGAAATGAGAACAAAAGACAGGCAAGTCTGTGCTGGGGTTTCGCACGCGCAGGTGCAGGGGGGTGCTGTGTGCATGCATGGGAGTAGGTCGTGCGTACAGAGAGGCAGGCGAGTGCATCTGCTAGGGGGAGTTACCTTCGGGGTCTTGAGCACAAACTTGTGTTTCCCCTCATCTCCCCCCAGCTGCGCCTTCATCTCCAGCAGTTTCGCCACCTCCTTCGCAATCTGGGGAGGGAACACGGAGGGAGCTGGGGGTAAGCCCACCTGCCAGGCCCAGCCCCCAGGCCTTCCCCAAAACCTTCAGCCCCAGCATTCCCAGTGCACCCAGACTCCTTAACCTCAATACATCAGCTGCTCCCAGTCTCCCACAGCAGCCAGAGGGGCACTCCCTGCTCCTCTCCAGTTCTCCCCATTTCTGCTACAAGCACCCCCCCAGCCTCTAGCATCCTCCTCCCAGTCCTAACACCCCCCCAGCATCCTTCTCTCCAGTCTAACACCAGTACCACCAGTTCCCACTCCCAGTCTCCCCTGCACCCTCCCCCCAGGCACCTCAGCTCCTCCAGTCTCCAGCCCGGTCCAGTACTCCCATCCTCCCCAACACCACCATCCCTAGCCCAGCACCACCCACACCAGTACTCCCAGTTCCCCACAGCACACCCCCCGCAAGCCCAGCAACCCCAAGCACACCCCAAATCACCTCAGCAGCCCTCTCTCCAGCCCAGACACCAGTACCCCCAGTTTCCCCCAAGCCTCTTTTCCCCATCCCAGCACCCTCAGTGTCCCAGTCCCCTCTTCCCAGGCCAGCTCCCCCACTCCCAGTCACACCCGTCTCCCAGCATCCCGCCCCCAGTCACACTGGTCCTCCCCCAGCACCCCACT